TACTTACTTTGTTTTTATAACTCCATAATGAATTAAGTCGTCCTATCTCCAAACTGTTTAATTCATTCAGTAAGCAGCTACAGAAAAAAACTCGTACTCACCTCTTCTGCTCTGGAGCAATCAAAGTTGTTTTCTTCCTCAAACTCCTCAGCCTCTTCAATGGAGGCCGGATGTGGCCCAGCAAGAATATACTGTGGTCGTTGTGAATCCGGCTGATTTTCAACTGTAATCTGTGAGGTCAAACTTGAACTTTTCGGTACTAGAGAATTGAATAATGAGAGCAAAATATTTATTAAGAGTGGGTCAGGTGAGCCTATGCATTTGCAAGGAGGAAAGGGGAAAAGTGAAGGGTAAATCCAATATAAAAACAAAACTAAGAATCATAAGAAAAAAAAAGTTGAGATTAAGCATAAGCCCAGTTCGATTCGATAGTACTCATCAAATAAGAATACAAAACAAAATAATAGCAAGTAAATTAAAACAATATCTGTAAGCAAATCTATGCATAGCTATACCAAAGGCAAATGTAATCGGCCCGTAAGAGAGCAATTAATTCATCTATAATTATTTCTAAACGAGGAAAATCGAACAAAATCAAATAAAATGAAATATATAAACAAATTAAAAAGAAGTTCAGACTGGTCATCATACCCTATAAAAAATATTAGAATTGAGATACTCAACGAGAATGAATGTAATACAGGGAAATATTGGTATGCAAGTAAGGAGGATATATGAAAAAAAAGATAATTACTATCCAACCGGACAGTTTCGATAAACTGCATGGAAATAAATTCTAATTCAGTCACCTTCCATTGAGGATGCTAACAGCTCAGTCTCGTTTACTTCGGCCGGGTTAGTCTTCAACAGAGTATGTCGTTTTGCGATTTTTTGTCTGTATGCCAACAGTATACGTTCCTGTCGGCGAAGGCGATGGCGTGCTTCCTGTTGTTGTCGACCTAGCAAACAAATAAGATTACCCTCGATCGCCGATCCTCTCCCAACAGGCTGAGTGAAGTTCTGAGTTGTCAGGTCTCTGGTGCTCTGATCTGCAGTTTCTTCTACCGATAGCTTCTCCAGATTCTCTATACCTTCATATCCGGTTGAGCCTCGTGGAAAGACTTTTGCCCCTTG